GTTTTTTTTTTGTTTTTCAAATGGACACGATTGGACAATGCCTCGTGATAAGAATCAATGAGCACAGTGCATTTCGTTTCTCGAGACCCATTATTCTCATTCTTGAGCACGTCTGTTTTAAGTCCCCCGATGACCGTTTGAAATTGAAACAACAAACACAGGATAGCCAGTAACTATTGGCTGGGTTGTCCGATTTTAGTTTGTGACGTCATGCGCAAAACAGTTCGTTCCTTATCCCCTCCGTATATCTATCCAGCTGTCCGTGGTTTGGCAGTCCGGTGAACGAATTTCTCAGGGTGATCGTTACGTAGGTTTTTCTCATGCTGGTGGCCTTTTTCTCGCGAGCAAGGGGCGAGTGAAAATCCAAGGTGTCGGACTATCGATACGCGGTCGAGTGCCAATCGGGAACCTGTTGGGTAGAACTAATTTTGAACAACCTTATAACGGTATTGTACGGATAGGGTGGCCTTCGGACTGACAAAAGGCAAAGACGTACGCAACAGAAACAACTGGCGTTCTCGTATATGCGACGAGGTCGTCGGAGCAACCGTCGCGCGGGTCTGTGATTACATATTTATTCAAGTATAGGAATTAACGTAAGGTGTGCACGGTCGACCGGAACGTTCTGGAATTCATCCGAATCAAACGATTTGGGAGCGACGAGCCCATTTGTGAGGGATGTCTACCCCCGCAAGAAGGAGACTAATGAGAGATTTTAAGAGGTACCGTGACTATCTTAACATTCCCGTGTCATCGCTTTCGCGGTGTCATGTACCGCCATTGCAAATGGAATTTCGTATTCATCACTTTCCTTCTCGTAACCTTTCTACGCACGATCGGATCCTCTGACGGGAGGAGAAACAGAATTATGAGGGTTACACACGACTCAATGAACGTCATTGTAGCCCGTCTCGCGAAAAGTTATTATTAGGAACCCGCGAACATTTACTGCGTTTCATTTGTATTACCATCCAAGAGATTTCGGTAGTTAATAGAGGAAACGTTCCCGTCTAGAATTTCCACGATGTTTATAGATAGTCGCGCTACGGCTCACGAGCAACCATGGTTTTGTTTATGTTGTGACTCTCATCTAATTGATTCCGATTAATATCCGATTGACCCGTAGTAACCTTTTTTTAACGTAAATAAACAGACATTTTCACGAAAGCAATATGCTTTGCTAGTATTTTTCACGGTGTTCTCGGTTATAAGCGATAAACATTATTTGTTTCAAGTTATCTGGATCCCTGTGATTTATTTTTATAAAGCGTGCGCGGTTCTATGCATTTCTATGCAACTGTTTCTCTTTCCTGTAGCAGCAACAAGTAGATATGTAAAAATATTCTAAGAATATGCTAATATACATACAACATTATCTATAAAAAATGCTTTATATAAAAAGACATTGACATGACATTGAGATTGGCAGGAAACCCGCCACATTTCCGCGGAAGATTCTTTTAAATATAAAATTGCACTTTATAGTATGCTATTAAAGACATATCGAGAATCATGTTACTTTGAGAAACATTTCTATTTACCAAGCTATTTATAATGAAATATTTATTTGTTTAGATTACAAGAAGATCCACCCACTGGAGTATCGGGAGCACCTACAGACAATAATATTATGATATGGAATGCAGTTATATTTGGGTGAGCTTAAAGGAACAAATATAATGTTGTTTAGGTACAATGCATTTACATTTCTTTTTTCTTCAATGTGATTACTTTTTTCAGACCACACGACACTCCATTCGAAGATGGTACCTTCAAACTTATAATAGAATTTACAGAAGAATATCCAAATAAACCACCTACAGTCAGATTTGTTAGTAAGATGTTTCATCCCAACGTGTACGCCGATGGAGGCATTTGTCTTGACATACTGCAAAACCGTTGGAGCCCTACCTATGATGTCTCTGCCATCTTAACATCCATACAGGTATTGTAAATGCACAGTAATTTATTTTACTTCATAGTACGACACATCAGATCCAGGTGCTTCATAGAATTTGTATTCCCTTCTCACTGAATCCTCGTTGTTGCACATGTTCATGATAAATACATATTGTGCGTTGAGTTCAATACGAGCTGATCATTATTCGGCTTGCAACAGTAAGTATAAGACAATAAAAAAATAACCCATAATCGATAATTAAAGTTTTATTTCTTTCCTTTTATGTTATTTTATTTTTAGTTCTACAATACTATGTTAAGTTTGTGTTAAGAAGCTGCAGATATGATTTGCATGGCAGTTACTAAATGTAAAGAAAAGAATTGAAAAAGAAAATGAAATGTGTACACTATTAAACTAGTGCGTGCTTAATTATTTTTTTTATTTCATGCGAAATATATTAGTCATGTATTTGTTAAAGCGTACAATTGTATCTACATCTGTCACATTTTTCACAAAAAGAACCATAAAGATTCGTAAGTTTTTGTCTTAACAGCGGTTGCAATTCAGCAAAGTCTGATTCATTGAATTCAAAATTATTTGCATACACATATATGTATGTACATATGATATTAGCGTAAAATTGTGCTTGTAATTCGTTTACCTGACCATAACTGTATTTCTAATCGCCAATACCAATTAAAAATATCATCTACTTACAAATTATGGCCATGCATCATTACAAACAAAAAGAAAGAAAAAAGAGATATTAAAAATATTGTATAATGAGCACGACTTATGTGGTTGCAGTCGCTGTTAAGTGACCCGAACCCGAATTCACCTGCCAACTCAATGGCAGCACAACTGTACAAAGAGAACCGACGCGAGTACGAGAAGCGAGTGAAGACTTGTGTGGAGCAGAGTTTTGTGGATTAGTCGCAGGCTGTTGCAGCATTAATCAGCCACCTACAGCCATCAGATACAGTGGAGAACGTGCAGCCTTATCGAGGAGCTAACGCTAAAATATTTAGCATGTTTCTTCCTAAAGCTCTATTGAACTACCACGATGTGCAACATTAGACCGAATTTTTACAATGTTGAATAATAAATTATTATAAAATTGTGTATTTATTTATTTCGATACTTGATAACACGAAATTAGAGATTACTATTAAACGTTAGAAGATAATTAATACTTGGCGCTTTTGTTCGTGTGCTATGAAGCATCGTCTTTCACGTGCACAGAACTGTATTTTCAATTAAATTTTAGTACTTCATATAGTATATAAATTCACTTATTTTGTGTAATGTAATAAATATATATATACATATATGTATATATTTATATGTATATATATGTATATATTCACACGTACATATATATATATATATTATACAAACGTGAACATATATGTATATATATACATATACACGGCAGCCACAGAACACATACACACACACACACATACACACACAATAAATGCATAATTCCTCTTTATAATCTAATGGTTTTTTTTAACCTTTTATTGTTGTTTCAACATTTCAAATAAATTAATTATTATAACACTGTATGTTGTAAATATTCAAAATCTATAAAATATTTGTTGCAGTCCCTTTTGGATGAACCAAATCCAAACTCACCAGCCAATTCTTTAGCAGCACAATTATATCAAGAAAATAAACGGGAATATGAGAAGAGAGTAGCTACTGTTGTTGAACAGTCTTGGTTGAATTTCCAAGAAAGTCACACAGAAGACCCTCGCTGACATTAAGTATGATTTGTACTGGATTTCATGAAATGTATTTGATACAGTTTTTTATATCATTTTCACGAATATATGGCCTAAAATACTTCTTGCACCGCTAAATCTGTACATTAAATGTTCTATTGTTCTACAGATAACTATTTTTTTTTGCGTATCTTTTGATCACAAAATCTGGTTTTTTTGCCGAAATATAAAAACATTTATTTACTTTTTGAATATGTTTCAGATACATAAAAATGTAAAGCATTGGAGTGATGTGGAATCACACTGTGAACTTATGTGATCTTTACCTATAAGTATAAATATGATGTGTATGGTTTTGCTCATTACAATTAGATTTTAGGCATCCATATAAAGTAACATTAAAAGGAAAATATGCGTATACATACTTAATTATAAAAAGACCACTATGAAATAAGTTTAAGACAGATCAAACACTGAGATATTAATAGCTTACTTATATGTTCTACAAAGTAATCTGTTGTGAAGTAGCTTGCCTTTTTTGTGCACAGAAAGTAAAAATGTTAGTGTATAAATAATATAGTACATACAGTAAAAAATGATAATAAACTTTGTCAGAGGAATTCTATTGAATATTTGTCATTACCTAAAAAAGTTGAAATAATAATATGTAAGTAAAATAAGATAACAGCATGTACTTAGGGACTTGTTAATAGCACAGGATGGGAAGATGTGAAGAAAAATCAAAATCTATGACATCATAACAAGCAATAAGATTAATGAAAACATTAAATTTATTTCTTAAAAACATGTTTCATAAAAAATTTTCTTACAACTGTGCAAAACTCAAATTGCTTTTATAAAACAATTCAGTTTTATATACAGTTTAAGTTTAAATTCGGCTACAAAAGAATAGCTTGTCAAACACAGTATATATTATATGTACGGATTAGAATTTGTATTTTTAAAAATACACTTTTCTATATACAAAATAAATTTTTTCATTGATAAAAGAGAATGTACATAAAATGAAATTAAATATTCGAGTGTTGCACAGAGATTCAGTAACTTTCATTTATACACATTATGTATGTTTTATATCAAATACATGATAATCACTTACAGTGAATCTGTAACTATATTTTCTATACAATTATACATTTTACAAATAATACAATAGAATTCTACCAATGTTACTTAACGCGTATTGATATAGTAATAATTCTGTAATAAAATCATATGCATTACAGTTGTACAGATTTAAAAAATTATTAGTCTTAAAATTAATCTATTTTATTTATGACAATTTACACTACAAAATATTATTTCTGTTCTTTAATACTGCTATTATGTTTGAAAATTTGAATGTATACAATAGTCAATTGCAAAATCTAATTCTTTTAAAACATGTACAGGCTAAGGAAGTTCTTTAAACTCTCAACAAAATTTAAATGAATTTTAAAATATGTGCAGCAGTAATCAAAAGATACTTGTTTCACTCTTATTCGATAAATTCAGTCACGATATTTACAATAGAGAGTATTATACAAATATAATTTATCTTCTACTGTGAATAATTATTCGATAGTTCACACACATATTTATATATTAAAATACTTAAGGAACCAAACAAGTTCAGCCATTTTATCATAAGACTATTATTTCTTTCCTTAATTACCGGAAGTTAAACAATATATTTCATAAGACATTAAAATTGTACTTAAAATTATAATGTACCGCTTAAAGTTTTCTTTAGCTTTAATTAAGTCTTCCAAAGTTTAAATTGCTCACCAACTTTTTCCTGCTACGATTTCTCTTCTTTTTCCTTATTATACCTTTCTAATTCTTTCAGAAATTGTGCTTTGGGCTTCATGACATTCGGTCTGTCTCCTCTACATTTCGGACAAAACCATTTACCTTTAGGTTTAGTACTTAACGAGACACATGAGAAATGGAACCATTCTATAGGACACAGGTCGTTATCACATAATATCATTTCACCGTATGATATTTGATCACAAAGACAATATGTTGGCTCATCTGGATCAATTGCAAGATCATCCTCTGGTGGTGGTGGAGTATCTTCACGATGCTGATTTTGCTGATTACCCTGTTTAGATTTTCTTTTCTTTTTCTTCCCAGCATTAGTAGTATTTGTCTTCTTTTGATTGCCATTATTTGCATTGGACAAAGAGTTCGAACGTGTTTCAGCCATTGTAATCATGTCCATTGCATTTGAAGATTCTACCAATGTTTCTGTTCTTGTTCTTCTAGCTCTCTTAGTTTGTCTCTCCGAATTATTAGCATTGCCAGAAGAGTTGGAATTAACATTAGCATTTGTTTCACGTGTCGATTCGCTACTCTCTTGTTCTTTTCCAAAATCTATAAATAAATTAAAGTGAAAAAGATATATAGCATTGTAAATATATATATATATTATAAATAAAGTTTATGAAATCGAATGACTATACCAAGATTTCGATAATCTAAATCCAATTGTCTGGATTTGTTCTCTATGAGATCTTGTACTTGTTGCACAATTTGTAACTTTTCATCTCCTATTTCTTTTGCAGCAATTAATGCTTGTTGTACTCTTAACAATGCTCTCCTTCTGGCAGTCAAGTCTGTGTCATTCTTTAATGCTTCCTGCTGTTGATCTACTTCCCTTAGATATGCTATGTTAAATGAAAAAAAAAGAAATAATAACTTATAATTTTTTATTGAAATATATTATTAGCGGGAAACAGAGACAAATCAAATTCAAACGTAAATATCAAGCAATTTGCATAGTGAAATAGTATAACTTTACTTTGTAGTGATTATTTATTTCACGAATGTAAATTGTTAATACTATCTTATTTTCTTTCGTACTTTTACTATGTATTAGACTTTTAAAGCTTGTAGATCACACTTTGTTTGATTTTTACTGATTTTCAAGTCACAAAAGAGGAAATATTTCAAATACAAATTAACGAATGTACACAGACACACAAGCGTACACTAACCACACACGCATACATACACATTCACGAATACGCATATGGGATGCACTTTCTAAAAGTTTGTTAAGCTCAATTACTTTGACAAGTGGCGTCGAGTTCTCGAAGCCGGGAAACGTGTCTTTGTAGATCGTTTGGCAAATTCTCCACACAGTCCAAATAATTCTCAATGTAAGTTGCTGAATATAAAGCCTCGACTACAGCTTGGTTTAACATGTTCGTTCTCTTACGAATTCTCTTCACCAGTTAAAAAATATAAAAACAATCCGTCCGTGAGTAAAATCTTCAGTATTGTTGTATCAACTTTTCCAACTTTTCGCACCATTTATGCAGATATGTGTGATCAATTAATTGACAACTACACCAATCTGGATCAATTGAATTGTAGGAAACCCAGGTAAACTGTTGTGAGACTCTTTTCAGATACTCCATCTGTATTTGTCATTAGAGTCAAAGATGGCGGACGAGCACCTAGCTCAAATTTCGCAAATTTCTTTCATCAAAACATGATATAAACACCGTGTAAATAACATGTTTTTTCTCTTCAAAATTTTTTAGATAGCCGTATCTGTGAAATACTTCAAAATTTCCTGCTTACGTATATAAATAATAATTTTTTTTTTTAAACATTTACAACGAGCGTACATCACAAGATCGAAAATTCTGAAATCATTATTTCAATTATTCTTTGACGATCTCGAATTGACTGTTCCTATTAATTGTTATAATTGTATATTTCAGTAAATTTTTACATGAGCGATGGGCACAAACTATCGGCATGAAATAAGCTTAATCGTAGTTATTTCAATTTTATACAGATTTAATATTACTTGACAGTTCCAAAGATAAACGACAATTTGTAATATATTCGAATTTTTATCGTTCTTGGAGAACAGAGAAAATCATATATTTATTTTCGTATAAAAAAGAATTGGCGATTTAAACGCTGATTTGACTAGCCCTCTGACGTCAAAACTTGTAGCACAGACTACCAATCCCGTCTCAAAACCCTATTTGATTTCGTTCGGTGGAGGAAAGAGTCGTGTTTAGGTCTCGTGTGCCGCAAAATCTGTGTGACGGTTACTGAGAAAATACTCGTTCTCTTCTTTTCAAACTTTGCAAGATGACGTCCACTGGAACATTCCAAGGATTCGGCGAAGCTGAAAGGAAATCCAGCAAGTAAGTGACATGCCTGTTATTTATCCTTTATCTGTCGCAGAAATATCGTATTGGTGTTGTGTGGTGCCTTTGTGCCTACACTGCGTCCTTTATTTATTTCAGTCGTTTACAGGCAAAGGAAAGGCATTAAAAGTATTGTTTATGACTAAAAATACTTTCACCGTAAACAATTATCATTGTCTTCATTATTAAGGCCACCAACCGTAGTCATTCGAATTTTATTATTTGAATTCTATCATCTTTGCGTGAGCAATTTGTTTAAAAGAATTATCAGTATTTAACGTATAAACATTAAACGTTTATTCTTGCTATCAGCAACAGAATGAAACGAATGGCGTCTTATTGGTTACTGACTTTTTGTTATTCACGGTGCGTCAGTTTGAACCGGTCATAACCGGACAATCCATGATCCTTTTTTGTCGTGGTAACGTTTTGGCAAATTTTGACATTAATTATGGCTCGAATTATTCATTTGCGATTTAACTATAATTGATATTGTGTTTGTTGAACACATGTAGGGTTCGACAAACTATATATCGCATACGTTGTCAAGATAACCGAAATTGAATTTTAAGTATCATATCCACGATGAACAGGTGCATTTATCCTTTGGCGTCACGCTGACATATTTATCAGTTTCTGAATAGATTACGACTATTAGGTCACAAATTCCTCAAAGTTTTTAGTGAATTTTATTTTCGACCGTTCTTAAAGGATACAATATTAAAGCTGTTATTTTCTTTTATTTTACTCTAGTGAATTCCTTTATGCAAACTTTTCTTTCTGACATTAAAATAAATGCAATTCTGAAAAAATAATTGTTACATTTCGCGATTGTAGTGTCGGTAATGTCTTAACTACACTGCAGTCGTAAGTGCAGAGGAATGGCAGCAGATTGCGTTCCCTGTACCATTTCGTTCAAAATGTTTAAAGTCAGTTTCGATTCGAAAATCGTCTTATATTTCTTTTGTTTTATACATGCAGCACGTACGTACCTACACATATCCATCTACATAATAAATAAATGTATATATATATATATATATACATATGTAAAAAGGTATTGCTATTTTATTCATTTGGAAAATGTTCCGACTGAATTTCGAAAATGTCATCGAACGTCAACGTCTCGTCAACGTTAAAACGAGGATAAAAAAAAGCGTAATTTACCGATCGTACCGATATCATTACTTCGCCTGATACTTTCTAATATAGATAACTAAAAAATTCCGTGTCTCTGCACTGCGGTTCTCGAGTAACCTTAAGCCGCGGAATGTAGTCTTAACTTTATGCAATATATACAACATGTAAACGTCATAATTAAGAAAGCAGTGTCGTTTACATAATCCTTTTCTACTTTGTAAGGTCTTGGTGAGTGAGTTTACTCTTGCGAGTGTCACGTTACGAGTCTGTCGTTTTCGAGAAAAATCCCGTGGTTTACCGCGTAACGGCTAAACATCGCAGTGCATGTTTCTAATAAACGTCCCGGCTCGCTTTCTTGCTATAATTAAAAATAACAACCGAAGAACGTACGTGCATGTTATCGAAAAATATTATAATACGCTTTATTACGATACAACAACGATACGTTTATCGTCTGCGTTTAAATACCCTACAAGCCTCGGACATGTTCCAATTACCGGACATCCGGTGACAATGATAACAGAAAATGACGTGCGGTTAACCCTTTTTCCGTATGCGTGCTGAAAGGCTGAATAATTTCTTCTTTTTTCGTTTTCCTTTTTCCTTTTTCCTTTTCTGTTTCTTTTTTTTCTGTGAATCTACTGTTTTCGAATACGCAATCGCACGTTAGAAGAGACACTCGTCGACGGCGTCTTTCTGCCGGTCGCAAATATTTTCCTTGGTTTGCCAGCGCGAATAATACACACGTTTCTGAGACACGAATCATGCTGTTCCAGGCTGAGTCACCCGTCGTTGTGTAGTTCCTAGCGTGCCGCATAGAGGCGTATACATTTAGGCTCGAAGCTTCGTAATTGCACAGGCATATGATGCTCTGCCCACTCTTTGTTCTCCCTCTTTCCGTTTCTCTCACGCACACCCTTCATTTCGTCCACTTCTTTTGTGC